TCCTGCTTTTTTTGTGCCTGAAGTCCACCAGTGTCCATCCATCTTCATCAAGAACGCAGGCACATTTCTTGACGTAAAGCACCGTTGACTGCTCTGACAGAAATCCACTATTCACTTAGATTTTTGTCATGTTTTTGAGTACTTTTGGTATCCTCCATTCATTCAACTGTCTTTTTTTCTTTTCTGTTTTTCTTTCTTTCATTTTTTTTCTTTTTTGGACAGGGAAGCTTCCTATTGTTTCACAGAGTGCTACAATACTTGCTTTGATGTCACATTAAACAAATGTACATTGTCTCTTTGTTCTCATTAAGTGTTCTTTTGAGTCAGTTCACATAGGAGAACAAATAAAGTATACAGTCAATAAGCACCATACATAGTAGGTTCAGGAATGTAACAAACCATGTACATCCATGTCCCAGAGAGAAGTTTTTTTTCTAGCTTATTTTCACCTTACATCTGCAGGAGAGAAAAAAGATACAATAACTCTATGATTAGAATCAAAGGTCCTACCTCTAAGTAGATGACTTAAAAAAAACTGTTCTGCATGAAGAGTCACTAACCTGGGACAAGAAGTTCTAAATGCTGTTTTGATTGAGTTTACATGCTCACTTTTAAAGTTGAATTTTAGAAAATCTTTGCTTCTATCATACTACTCCCAATAAATACCTGTTAATCTGAAACAGGATACCAAGTTTAGCATTCTTTAGAAACGAAACATCAGTATAAATGAAAACTGCCATCGGGAGTTTATGTGCAAAAATAGGTGCTTGAAATTAAATTCACCATCATCCAGGCGTTAGGCACATACACTGCAAAATCCAAATCATTCCCACTCCAAATACTAGAATCAATTGCAAGTGCTGCAGTTTACATAATTTGAAGTCATTAAGAAACGGAAATTCTGTATTTAATCTGGAATGTGTATCGCCATCATCATGCATTGCTAATATGTTGGCCAAAGGATTTCAGTCATTTTTGCACTGTGAGGGTGTTAGTTTTTCACTACACTGAAAACCTCATGAATTTTGATGACTGACTGTCATCATCCTACTGAGACCAAACAGACCAAAAAAAAGATCTTAACTTTCTGCTGTAAGCAACGCTGGGCCCTGCAAAGCAAAAAACAATGGTACTTCTAAGCATCTTCCTTGTCAGGCAGGCGGATCACCAGACCACCCCAGGTGCATGTACCATCAATCCCAGTTCATACCGAAACATGGGTTTGATGGTCACGCATATAATGGTACTTGCTGTACGTACACTCAATGTTTCACAGCCAATGACTGGGAACACAACAATTTGTAACCTGGCAATTCATTCATGCATTATTATGTGATGCTTTGACCTCAGAAATCAATAATAATGAAACGAAAGCAGAGGCAATGGAACTTGAGATTTCAGAAGCTGAAGTATTAGCACCCTCCAAAAAAAAAAACAAACAAAAAAGGCAAGAAAAGGAAGTAGCTCAAGAATGTAAGATGCTGATGGTGATGTGGAGCTTAAAGGAAAAATACCAGCAGGTAGAATTATCAAAGCCAATCAAATCTAATCTTTTTGCAGCCTTGAGGTAGCAAGTGTCAAGATTTTGAACAGTGATTAAGTTGAAGTGATGATATTTGATTAAGTTTTCCAGTACTTGTGCTATTAGGGTGTTCAGCATATAGGTCCTACCTGAATATCAAATAGTTCCAGTAGGTTTTATGTTGGTTTTAACTTTTTTCGTTTCCGTTTTTTACCTGATTCCCTAGGCCTTCCTGTTAACATAAGGGCAGGGCTGGTAAAAAGCCCTAAGGTAATGCATTTTGTTGAACACTGAAGTAATAAATACTCAAACCGTTTACATTTCAAAGAAATCTCATTATCCTTTGCATTAAAGTAATAACTTTATAACGGCTGATTTGACATTCCGTTTACAAAGTAATTATACAAAAGTAAAGAAATAATAAACGAAGTTGGCATTGCATACGTCATTTCCAAGATCCATCTATAATTACTGTAACCATGCAGTATTCGACATTTGCTTTCAGCTCTGTAGTTAAGCTATTTTCAGCTCGCCATCCACTTGCTGGTGCAAGTTTTGTCCCTATCAGTAATTAAATCCTAGAATTCTGTATTCTTCCATAACAACACTACCCCATTTTTCACACACATCAAAAAGAAATATTTCATCTGAAAATCTCAACTGCTTAGTCTGTGGCAATTAAAGACATTTTTGGAAAACTGAAATTGATGTAACGAAACTTTTTTCCAAATAGAAAACATAGAAAAAATATCAAACCATACACACATAAAAATAACCATTTTAAACATGGTTCTGTCTACTCATAACTCAACCTAGTTTCAGCTAAAACACTCAGCTCAGATTATAAGTTGATGTCCAATAAAATCACAGCAGAGGCCTAACTTAGTCCTTTTATACAAACTCTAATTCTTCTGCTTTGTACATAGCAACTGAAGTTTGCATTTGCTTAGACCAGATTTATGTCTCCATGCTGGGTGGAGACAGTACAGAAAACCCTTCCTTACCCAGCCACCTACAAAATCCATCACCTTTGGGGAAGTTTTCCTCCTGTATTTACCTGCTCCTCACTGACTCTAATTTTGGGCTGGGTCTACTGCACCCCTAAATTCCCACCAGAAGTGCAAAACAAACTTTTGAGGCTGCCATCGACCAAAATCAGGAGAAAGGGAGGTGTCCTTTCTGCTGCAGTGGGTTTCCTGAATATGTGTCAAGCACTCTAGTAACAGGATCTCAGCTAATGATTTTAGGTGTTTTATGAAAGTCACATTGAAAGTAAGTATTTTTCCCCACAAATCTTTCCCCATGCTAACTTAAATGTTGTCTTGGTAAGGCAAATTTAGGTTTAACCAATAAGCTGCAACATGACAACCTTTAACTTAGTTAACCAAGACCTGAACACTATTGGACATTTATGTTTATTTAAAGGCTAACCTAATGAGAAATTCAAATCCAAACTCTTTATACAGCACAAACTGTCCCTAATTTTCTATCTTCAACACACAGAGAAGTAGCTGGGAGCTCCTCTACTGAAGCAAACTTTGCTTTACATTCTTTACTAACATAAAAATAAGGTCTGTGTGAAATCAGCATTGATGCAAAAATAAAATGAAAACATACCAGTTTCTTCTTCTCTATAATCTGAATTAGTATTTGATGATGTACAGGTGCATTCCATATGCTCTTCTAATCTCACCAGAACTTCTTTTAATTTCGGCTTTTTTCTAACGTATTCCACTTTTGCCACCTACAAAATATCACGAGGGATGTACTGAGACACATTAACATAGTTATTGTGCAGAACTGATGACAGTAACAATACATCTTTATTTTTTAATGTAGCCAAACCCCTAGAAAACATTAGCATATTAATCATTTTTTATCATAATTTTGCATCCTGTAACTATTTATTGCACAGACTATTTGTTTATTCAAGTTCAACAGTTTGAAACAACTTTCTTTTCCCCCAAGAGACAAAACCAATTTCCCACTCATTTCAGTTGGAAGCTTTAAGCAACTCAGTTTTCACACATATCACAATAAACTTCTAGACAGATGCAAACCAGTGGTTGTTCTTGTAGACTGCCACTTTGAGCAGGACCTGCTGTACATGTTGACCACTGCTCTTAAGCTGAAGGCTAACACTGAAAGCATTAGGTTGGTTCATAATAAGTTTTATAATTTACAAACTGATGTCTCCAGAGCCCTCTGAATGTGAAGTGCTCAACTCTACAGAACCAGGATCTGAATATCAGCTTAAAAAGCAGCAATCTCTGTTTACTTCTTGCAGTGAGCTGGGACTTGTTTACATGAGCTCCCATGCACTGTTTTTAGGTCCAAGGGAACTACCACTTGCAAACTGGTTCCAGCCTGTGGCTTTATCCTGGATAGCTGGCACGTATGCTACTTCTCTCAAATCCAACGAACTGCACTGCTCCACTTTGGACCAAAGCACTGCATCCTTAAAAAAACAGTCTGGAGGGCAAGGTGAGGTTGGAGGAAGGCGCATGCTGGAGAAGCTCTGGCTACACCAGGTCTCTCATCTGAAGGACGCCAATGCAGAAGAGAAGGACATTGGGGTGGGGGGATACTGAACACGAGAACATCCTGACCAACTTGGTGCTGGCAGCCAGGAGAGGAGGAACAATGTAGGGGGCAGGAACACTGCTGTGCTGGGGCACTTGAATGGGTTGTGGGATGCTGGGCACCGACTCATGCTAAGTGTAACAGGCATGGTGGCCATGGCCATGCAAGGGAACATGGCATAACGTGGGCAGAGAGAGAGCTAGACAGCGTGTAAGGGGTCCAGTGTTTAGTTTACAGTGGTGTTAAACGTTGCATGAATAGCTGATAATCATTTGCTTGAAACGGAAATCACTGAAATCACAGCTTCTCAGTCCTACTAATAATTTATCTGCCGTTTGACAAAAGGGGGCTGCAATGTGGCTGCCACAGCAAACAAGACTACTGCAAAGTACAGGTATGCATATCGTAAGATAGATAAGGGAGCAGAAGGACAAGAGAGGCTGGCTGTCTCTACAAAACCTACGTGATCCAACCAAAGGCTCCAGTTACTACCAAACAGAGCATCCGCAACTACACTAGACTCTCCTGGTAATGGTTTACTTGCGTGTTTGGTGGGGATTTAATGCTCCAAATCCATCTTCACACTATGAAAATCACTCCTTGGCCCTCCCAAAACCAGAAGAACATTGTCACAAAATGAAAGTGGTGGCTGGAAAAAAACATCAGTTTTCCAGTTCCCAGAAACACTCTCTGTGGACACAAACTACCAAGGACCTCTGAATGACAGTAACAGAAGCTAGAGCAAAATCCTGGCCTTATTAAAGTCAGTGGGAGATCTGACATTGCTTTCATGGAGCGAGGAGTTCAGATCCACATTTTAGTCACCACCTCTTGTGTCAACAGACCTGGAGACGATTTTCATTTACGCAGCAAACAAAAGCTGCAGAGAGACAGATGCAGTAACGAAAGTTTCCACATTAAAAGGTATCTTAGAAAACTGTCAGATCTCCACATAAACAGATTAAGAGCTGGCCGTGACATACAAGAACGCTTTTGCTGAAAGACTAACTATGGGTCGAATCAGTACATTTCAAAATCTCCTATCAGAACCCAACTCCATCAAGCCTTTGAACGCAAAGATTTGAAAATGTACAGTACAACTGAGTCATCTGGCATCAAAGGATGACTAATCCTTAAAATTTACAAAAACAAACAGTAATTAAGACACCTCCACCATCAGAGACAAAGAAAGAGACCCAGCAATCATGAAACAGCTTTCAGATCTGCCACGCTTATTACAGCTGTTAGAATAAACCAGTCTTATTGAAAATTACATGCAACAAAAATAAACTGTAATCAAGCTTTTTAAAGTCGTTCCTTGTTTTGTTTGGTTTTCCAAACTGAAAGATATATGCAGTTCCTGTGGCTATTTGGTATTAAACAACAGTTAAAAAAAAAAAAAAAAAAAAAAGAGAATACTTTGAAGAATAGGATCATAATGAATTTATGCAGCAATTTAAAGCTGGTTTTTTACTGCATTGTAGTTAAAATACAATCCAGCATACATTCCACTGCCCTGCTTCATGCTACACAAGTTAAAGGAAATGCTGCTTTGTAAGATGTTGCAAATACTCAAACTGAAGTAGCACAAACCCGATAAACTGCTGTGCCTGTGTCATCTGTTAATACCTGCTGCCATACAGGACGCTAATCTAAAATGATGAAGGTCGCAGGTCAGATATTCAGTAGGTATGAACAGGGATAGCTATGCTTACAGCATGGGATTTGGCCTTGTGTTAGCATCTTTTTTCTTCTTTGTATTTTCCTCCCTGGTGTTCATCTTGTACAGTTACTTTCAAGTGTATGACCAAATGCTTTGAGATGGTCAGTCCCCAACAAACCAACATTAGCTTCTTTTACTTGTCTCTAACACAACAAAACTAAAAATCCTCAAATCCTCCAAACCACAAAATATCACTGTATAAAAACTCTCTAAGAAAAAGACACTGAAATAACTGACTAGCTTAGTAAAATGGTGCATAATCAGTGGCACCACATGTGCCTCACTGTAGACTCTAGGTACTATCCTGTGGTACAGTGTGGTGGCTAAGTAAAAAGAAAACAAATCTGATTAAAATATGTGGCCTAAGGGAAACGTCACGGGAACACATTTTCTAGAGCTTCTCCAGGAGGAATGAAATCAGAGAATAACAGCAGAAAAAACCAAGTCTGTAAACAGAAGTGTTCAAAATACCTCCAGCACAAAGCCAAAACTTATCATGCGCAGGAACTTGCAAGATAAGTCTCAGTGCAGAAAATTCCTCATAACAGCAAAACTCATGGCTGATAGCTAAATACAAGACGGGAAATAAAACAAAAAAGCAACTGATTGAGGATGGGTTTTGGAAGCACCTATTTCTTCTGTATTAAACTAAATGCTTGCTGATACGATGGAGGTAGAACGAACCTTCACCTTGCAACTGTGATCTTTACAGCCCTCAGATCTGCAGGGAAGACGGAAGTCAAGAGGGTATAAAGGCACCAGAAGGACTGAGCAGGGATCAGGGATCCTGCGGAGCTTGGCAAGTCCCCGAGCGTTTCGCAGGCCGGGAGGCACGGCTGCAGGGACCGGCGGGCAGGCCTGGCGCGGTGCCCTCCAGCACACTCCGCACCAGCTGTGCCTGCCTCCCCAGCGCAGGCAGGCTGGGAAGCGGCAGGGTTTCCCACCCGCCCCAGAGCCTGGCAGCCACCCATCCTAAAATACCCATTAAAGAGGTTTACAGGGCACTCCTCTGGCAAAATCCCTGCCTCATGCACAGTTCTTTAGGGTGGGGCAGTGAGAGCTCTCCCTGCAGGGAGGCAAGGCCCAGGGGTGCACTGTCCTGTCAGTGCAGAGAGGGGCGGCCCTGTCACTGCTCCGGGCACAGCGGGT